GATCCCGGCCGGGGCGGGGCGGGGGGGGTGCCCAGGGCGGCGAGCAGCGGGCCGTCCGGGGCGCAGACGCCTCCAGCCAGCAGCGCGGTCCAGCGTGAGTCCCGCCCTGGGACGGCTCTGCCTAATCCCCTTTCCAGCCCCTGAAGCCCTTTCACTGCTCACACCCCTGGACCCCGGGCTCCCGGCTCCAGCGCCCTCTGCGCCCCCTGCGCCCCGTGCAAGGCATCCTCGCCCGCCGCCCCTTCTCCATCCTCCTTCCGAGGCTCCGCGCCTATCAGCCCGGCCAGAGGGGCTTTATTTTAGCCATCCCCGCCCTCCCCATCGTGCCAGGACCAGGACATCGGGCCTCCTGTCCCCCTCCCAGCCCCACTGGGCTCCTCCTTCCTAAAGTCTCTCAGCCTTGTGTGCAAAGGTGTGCCCTCAAAGCGGAGCTCCTCCAGCCCCCAGGCTAGTCCAGGCTGTTCTAAGCGGTCCTTCCTGGTTGAGTTCCTCTGTCTAGCAGTTCAGCGGTTCAGGAATGGTCCCACCTGGGGCAGGAATTAGGCCTACCTTTTGCCTCCTTAGCTTCTGCCCAGGGCATGAACAGGTGCATCGAGTCCATGGTCCTCCTCTCAGCCCTAATGTTCCCCCAGCCTTCTCCCTTCCTGGAGTCCCTCCAGCCCCCCATGGTCCCAGGTCTCCAGCCTCCTCAGGGTGTGCCCCACGCTCCAACCCTGGGCCCCTCCCAAGCTGCCCCAGCTATTTGTAGGTCCTCTGCCCCTCCCCACCCTTGGACTGATTCCCACTCAGTTTGGCATTGCCTGAGGACAGATACAGACGGTATGTCCTGGTGACAGGAGGAGCCCTCCTTCCCAGGCCTAGCCAGAGCGCTAGAACAGTCTGAACCTGGGCAGCCAGCACTCCTTGCCCTTCCTTGGCCCTTCTCCATCCTCTGTGCATGAGTGGATGCTCATCTTGCCCTTTTCCTCCTCTAGTCTTGTTCCCCCCACCAATTCCCTCCATTTTCCTCCTCCCTCCTGCCAACTCTTCCACGCCCCCCGCCCCAGTTCCCCTGCAGTTCCCCTTCATCCTCTCCCACACTTTGTCCATGCCCCACTAAGGATCCCCCCGATTCTGGGATACTTCCACCTCCAAATCTGCATCCTCTTTCTCAGCTGCTGAGTTTCTAGAGGATACCTTCTCTGCCAGTGTCTTCCCTCTGCCTGGATGCGATACCCAGCCCCCTGATTTCTCTCCCCAAATCGCCTCCTCTCCAGGTCTTGGTCAGTGTGTCCCTCCTCCCCATGGATCTCCTTTCCTTCCACCCTGTTTCACTATGACTCACTGTCTCTCTCCCCACTTTCCTGCTGTCTGTTTCTCTATGTCTTCTTTCTTTGACAGGAAGATTTAGACCCAGAAGGGACCCTAGAGGCCCTTCTAGGCCCATCTCCTTTCAAAAAGAGAAGGAACCTGAGGCCCAAGGGGCACAGATTTCTCCCAGACCACAGGGACTTAGTGGGAGCCCTGGGTTTGGAACCTAGGGCATTAGAACCTGGCAGGCACACAGGAAGTGCTTAATAAATGCTACTTGAAGAGGCCAGTAACCCTTCCTTTGCCTCTGTGGATGATGGGCCCTGTGTCTGTGCCATTGTCTCACTCCAATAAAGACAGGGCCAGGCGGGCGGTCTCCATTCCTTTATCTGGGACCGTGTGTCCCAGCGTGTTGGGCTCAGGGGCTCAGACGGAGACTCCCTCCGAGGTCCCAGAGCCAGAAGCAGGGTCTGAGAGTGGCTACAGGGCCCCATTCGGCCCCCTGGTAGCTGTGCACGGGAGCGCCACTCTGGGCATCGGAGAAGGCCAGCAGACCAGCCTCCACCTCCAGGTACACGGCCAGACGCTGGGGCTGTTGCCGGATAGCCAGGGTCACTTCAGGGGTCCACAGCTGGCCTCGACTAAGCTGCAGGGCCCAGAGCCCCTTGTTGGGCTGGGGCCTGGGGTTGCCCTCACAGGCCACGCCCACGGCCCAGCCCCCTGACCCGCTTACGTCCACTTCCCAGTAGTGAGAGCCATCGCGCCAGGTTTTGTCGCCCAGGACGCAGGGGCAGAGGTCAGCCTGCTGGGCGCTGGCCCGGGGCACCAGCCTCACTATCCTCCCACTTTCTGATACTTCTAAGCCTGGGGCAGCTGAGTTGGCGTCAAAGCGCACCGGGGGCTCATCTCGGTCCAGTTCCCCTGACAGCCGCTCCCGGAAGGCCCTGGCCGCCTCCTTTAGCACGGCCTGAGCCCGGCCTGCCCTTCCCAGCCCCTCCCCAGGGATCACCCTGGTCCCCAGGGTCTTGCCAGCCTCCGCCTCCAGCTTTCGAAGTCCCTCTTGGACGCCGCTGTCACCTAGCAGGCGGGCGCTGGGCAGGTGGAGCCAGGCCGAGGCCTCCAGGAGCAGGCGGTCCAGTTGCTGGGCATTGGCCGAGAGTCGGGCTCCTCGGGCTCGGCGGGCGGCCTGGGCCTGGTGCTCAGCAGCTGCCAGTGAGCTCAGCAGGTCCTGCTCAGCCTTGCTCAGGAAGTGACGCAGACCCTCAAACTCATCCCCTAGACGCTGGCGCCGGATGGCAGCCTCTTCGTCTAAGTGGGCCCCTTGGAGCTCCTGCCGGGTGCCTGCGTCCTCCAGGGCCTTCCTCTGGGCACGCAGACTGCCCAGAACCCCTCTGAGGCGGGCCCGGGTAGCTTGGCCTTCCTCGTCCAGCACCACCAGGTCGTGGCCCCGGTGGGCTCTCTCGTGGTGGCAGGCAGGGCACAGAGTGGCCCCATCCCGACGACAGAAGAGCCAGAGGTCCTCTCCTGGGTGCTGGGGGCAGGGGCTCTGGGGCAGGCTCATCCCTGGCCTTGGCTCAGCCCACTGGCCTCTGTCCCCTGGGCCTGCTGCCAGACTGTTCCCCGCCCCTGCGACCTGGCCCACGTCTTCCTGTTCTCGGGGGCCCTTCCCTGCCTTGACGCTAGGAGCGCCCTCAGCCTTCTTCTCCATCTCACGCCCTGGGGCCTCCTCCGGGGCGGCTGCCTCAGGGGGCTGCCTCATCCCATGGGCCGGGCCCTCTCTGTGGTCTTTGAGCCGCCTCTCTGTCCTACTGTCCCGGCCCTCCTCACTGGGTGAAGTGTTCCGCTGGGGCCCACCATCCGGAGCTTCCACCGGCCCCTCGGCCTCGTTCTTTGTACCCTTCCCCGGCTCCCCGCCCTCCACGTCTCTGGCCGCATCGGGAAGTCTCCCTGTCTGGGTCTCGCCATCCTGGGCCTCCCGGGACTTGTCCTCTGGGGCCTTTGGTGTCTGCTCGTTCCGGCTCCCTTTGGCTTCTTCCTCAGCCAGAGACGTGGCCAGCTGCGCCTCGGGCTCCCTGGCCCCCCAGCCTTTGCCCACGCTGGTGCCTGGGCCCGGCACCCGGTCTTCACCCGCGTTGGGCCGCAGCCGCTTGGCGGCCGTGGCCACGTTGGCCAGCTGGCAGTTGGGCCGCAGCTTGCGTTTGGGCGAGCGGGCCCGGCACTGGGGGCAGGGGAAGCGCCGGCCCATCTCGTCCCAGCAGCGGGTGATGCAGGCGCGGCAGAAATTGTGGCCGCAGTCAATGGTGACCGGCTCGTGCAGGTAGTCCAAACAGATGGCACACGTCACTTCCTCCTGCAGCAGGCGCACAGGGTCCGAGGTGGCCATGGCTGGGGCGGCACTTGGGGCTCCTGCCCCCTCCACCCCCCCACCTAGGGCCCCTGCCCTCTCTTGCTCTGTCCCCTTCTCCCTCTCCCTGCCAGCCAGCCGTCAGGTGGCCATTGTGAGGTCACCCCTGGTGGGGAGGGGTTTCTAGGGAACTTTGCTGGACCCCTGGAGCCTCAGAAGGAAGCCAGGGCTGGAAGGACAGAACTGACCTTCATCTTGCCTCCCCTAGGGAAGCCAGCCAAGGACTCCCTACAGTCCAGCCCCCGGGGCAGCTAACTGCTGGCTGGCCCTGGGGGCTGATGGGGGGAGCTGTTGCTTCCACAGTGGCATTCTCTGCCTCCTCCCAGAACAGGCTCCAGGTTGGCTCTTGGAAGGTTCTGTCGGGGTAGGCGTCTGACAGCTGCCTGGGCCTGATCCCTGGAGCCTTGCCAGACCAAACCCCACCTTCTTGCCTCCCTCTGCCCCTTCTGTGGGCCAGTCTTGGGTATGGGGCCCGGTCCCCAAAGGGATTAGTGCCAGGGGCCCGGATACCGGAGATCCCTGGGCCTGAGGCTGTGAAGGCTTGGGACCCAGAAACCTGAGTTCCTAGTTAGCCAGGTGCTGGGTCTTGGGGAATGGTTTCTTAGTCAAGGGCATAGGGCATAGGTCTGGGTGTGTGGCTTTCTGAGGGGTTGGGGAGTGGGATCTGGGAGCCCCAATATACCGGGGAACCTATGGGAATGGGTGCTAGGTGTGGTCAGCTGGTGGTGGAGGGGAGGCCGTAGGGTCCCAAAAGGGTTATAAAGGTACCTCCAGGATCCCAGAAGGAGTGGGGGCTCCACCCCGACACCCCCCCAAATGCGTCATCCCTAGGTCCTCTCATAGCCCCCCAGTAGGCTAGCACTTACCATGCTCGATCATCTGCTCTGCCATCTCCCTGGGGCCTCCAGCATTCTGAGCTCATCACAAGGGTTGGGGGCAAAGTCCCTGAGGAGGAGTCTGAGACTGACCTCTGATCCGAGGGGAGGGCATGGCTCGCCTGTGCGGGTGCCAGCAGGAGGCCCCACAGGCTGTAGAACGAGGGCCAGACCCTCTTCAGGCCCCACTTTCCTTCTCTAAGATGAGAGGGTTAGGCTGGGGGGTGTCTGGGCCCTTAGCACTCACCCCTCGTAGGCACAGGAGGGAACCCCTTGACCTCTGTGCCTTTTTTCATGGGGAGGCCATTTGTAGGGGAAGTTGGTGTTTCCCTGAACTAAGCAGTTGAGACAGGAAGGCCTGGGCGTTGAATCCCACTTCAGAAACTTGAACTGTTTGAGGCAGGGCCCCTCCCCTGGCAGAGCCTCAGTTTCCCTGTCTGTCAAACAGGACAATACGGGCTATCGCCCTTCCTTCCCCGGCAGTTCTGTTTCCCACAACGTAAGCTGTTGTCATTGTTTTATTAGGTCTTGGCTAGAAAACTGCATCGGCTGCCTCGCCTGCTCTGGACCTCCCAGAGATGCTCAGCCAGCATCTTCAAGGTGAGGAGCCCCAGGGGAGAAGCTGAGCACTGAGCTCCCCGGGGTGGGTGGGTGGCACTCAGCTCCAAAGAATGTGGGATCCACAAGGAGTCAGGGCTGGAGGTCAGGAAAACTGGGACTGAGGGGGGTGGTGCTGGAAGTCAGGAGATTGGAGACCTTGGAGAGGGTGGGGATTTGCTGGAGGTAAGAAAGCCGGGGTACCAGAGCTGGTGGTCCAGACGCCTGAGCCTCCGAGGGTTCTAGGAGGATGGACCCTGAGTCCTGCGTCTGATCCCTTTAATTCTACAATTCCCAGAGGCCTCCACAGCCAGGAGGGCCTAGCTGTTGCCTCTTGGCCATGGATGCTCAGCCCAGAGGTCTGTGAGAGGGAACTGGGATGGAGGTCCAAGCCAAGGGCTTACAGCTGGGTCCCGGGGCCCCAGGCCTCACAATTGCAGGTGGAGCTATGCCAGACCCAGCGGAGGAAGCCAGGCAGCGGGGAATCCCTGATCTTTGGGAAACAGTTCACAGACCACATGTTGACTGTGGAGTGGAGTAGCGAGGAGGGCTGGGGTGCGCCCTGCATCCGGCCCTTTGGGAGCCTCACGCTACACCCAGCCTGCTCAGCCCTTCACTACGGCATCGAAGTAAGGCCCGGGGCCTGCCCCGGCCCGTCAGCCAGCGGCCTCTGCTGGCGCTTTTCTCTTACTCTGCCCTTGTCTGTCTTTCTCTCTCTATCCCTCCCTCCATCTCTATCTGCACATTCTCTGTGTGTGTCTGTCTCAGTGTCTCCGTCCATCCCTCTCTGTTTCTGGCTGTCTCTAGGTGTGGCTCTTTCTGTCTCTGTCTCTGTGTGTATCTCTCTGTGGCCCCGTCTTTCTCTGTCCCTCTCTCCCCCTCCATCGCTCTCTCTCTGTCTTTTTCCTGTGTGTCTTTCTCTGTCTCTGTGTCCGTGTCTCTCTGTCTCTGTCTCCCCACTGTTGGCTTCGCTCTGTCTCTCAATGCAGTGGCTGTCTACCACCACCCTGTGGTGACAGCTCTTCTGAGCACAAGGTGACATGAAGCCACAAGACCAGAGAGTCGGTTTTAAAGTTCCTTGGGCTGGGGGTGGGGAGCTGGATTCTGCTCCTCCTCAGCTTTGGCAGGAGGCCCTGCCCCGGCAGAAGGCAGGAAGCCCCCTGTAATCAGGCAACAAGCTGTCCCTCTCCGGTGTCCTGGACGGGCCCGGGAGGCAGGGTGGTCGTTTGTCGGATCAGACGCCAGCAGGGTTGGCTGCACCCCGCCCCCCCCAAGGCTTATAGGACTGGGGCTCTCATCTCCAGCAAGGTGGAGGCAAGGGTCAGCTGCACTCCTGTCCCTGCCCCGGCCCAGCGACTGCTGTCTGAGGTCAAAGTGCAGGCCCGCCTCCCTCCTAGCAGAAGGGCGAGGGGGCTTGAGGAAAACCTCATGACTCTCCGAGTTTTCTGAGGACAATGGAAGGGCAGCTTTGTTAGGAAAGCCACGGAGGCCCTGTGGAAGAAGAGGATCCCTGAGCTCACGCCGCTCTGAAAGGAAAGCAGCCCTGGTGGGGAGGGTGCCTCCCTGCCCGGGACACAGCTGGGAATAATGACGCAGAAGTCCACTGCCCAGCACGGGGGAGAGAACTTCTCCCTGCCCCCCAGGGCTTGCGAACACTGCACCAGAATCCAAGGCCACGTGTCTGGAAGGACCCATAGGGGCAGCCGAGCAGGGGTCGGGTGGGTGGGGAGAATGGAAGTGTTTGCAGTCAGCTGCAGAAGAAGGATGTGGCTGAGGAGTCCCAGAAGCATCCCCGGCCTGGCACTGGAAGCATGATAGCCTAGTCACAGGGGGCATGCGCCAAAGGCAAGACAGCTGGGAAAGGCCTGACCCACCTTGCTGGGAGGAGCCCTCTGCCGCGGGCAGAGCAAGGGCCATCACGTGGAAGTGACTGACCAGCTCATCTTGGAAGACTGATGGAGAAGCAGAGGAGAGCCAGGAAAGGTCAGATAGGCACCTTAGAGCTTGCTGGGATGGATGGCGAGAAATTCAGAGCAAAGCTGGGTGGGGCCCCCAGGCCTTGGATTCTGCAGGGGCAGTTAGCTCAGGAAAGGGGGTTGGGTCCAGAGAGGCGTACAGTGTAGGTATTCCAGGGAGCCCCTGAAAGACTTGGGTAGTAGAGCACGCCCGGCCAGGTGGTGGAAGGGGCCTGGGGCCCTTCCCTCTGTCCCTCTGTCTCTTTCTCTCTCTCTCTCTCTCTGACTCTCTGACTCAAAGGGCTTTTAAAGCCACATGGATGAAAAGAAAGGGTCCGAGAGGTGCAGTGATGGTAACGTGCCTTTGAGGTGAGCCACT